TGTTGATATTTGCGCAATATAAATGATTTCATTCTTATTATACTAGCTACAGCTGAAATACACACTCAAACGTCTAAACTTACGTCACATGCAGTCATTAACATATTGGACGTATAAAACCTTCATTACTTTTTAGGAAGACGCAACACTCGTCAAAAAATATTTCTCTATGCTCAGCGGTCTTCCGCCACACGAGTATATAAACAGTGAGAAACCACGTTCTGTACCCAGTTGCGACGTACGTTTCTCTTCGGTAGCCGCAGGTTGCCACACTCGGGACGACCCGATATAATAGTCTTCCTCTGCTCTGACGTAATGTTTTCCCATTTCAGACCATGCGTGTCATTTTGATTAATTTGTCGGGTTTTTTTCGATACTTGCCGAGTTTCGCTAATGTTCGTGGCAGGATTAGCTGTGTTATCAAGCTTTAGATCAACAGTTTTGTAATGCGTTTGTTATTTCACGTGCACGTTTTTATGATGGCTTTGTTAAAATCTTTTCAGGGTCAGTTTTTGGTTTGTCGTGACATATTTGGTTTTCTTTCTTTATTTTGTCTTACGCATGCAGTTGTGCTGTGCGTTCTATTGTTATTTTATGTGTCGGTGTTATACTGGGCACAGCTTCATTCATGGCTTTAGGCAAGAGAACATTAAGTAGTTCATATTCTCTTGTCTTTTGGCATGACATTTTCGTAGTCCGGTTGTGGCATGCGTATCCAGCTTTTTGGCGGCGTTAAAATTCTTTTGTTCTGTCAGGTTTTTTTTGGTGAGTTTCTGTTTTCGGTTCATAAGAAATATCGGGATTAGTCAGTAACGTCCTCTTCACTTTCCGTTTGGTTTCACGCGCAGGTTGCCACACTCGGGACGACCCGATATAATAGACCTCCTCGGCTCTGACGTAATGTTTTCCCATTTCAGACCATGCGTGTCATTCCCTAGATTATCATTTCTTTATTTAACGGTTGCACATGAGAAGACACATGATGGATACAGCTCAAACAAAGAATATTATTCTCAAGGGAATGACACGTGGTCTGAAATGGAAAAACATTACGTTCGAGTGCTCCAGAGCCGAGGAGGTCTATTGATCTGATCTCCATTAGGAGCGCAGGTAGATACCAACTACATTCAAGCAATAGCTTCAAGCTGAATTATAGCACAATTAAACACTCGACTGGGTTATGGTTATGCGCCATTAAGATCCTTTTGTTAAATTGGCCGTACCCTACGGCTCCGAGGTTTGACAGTCTGGGAGCCTTATTCCCTGTCGGTCTTCGTACGGGCGCATAAGTCTGTCAACCCTTGGGCCTCTCCCTCATTGCGTTTCCCTTAAGTATTGCTCGTTTTGTTTCATTTTTAGCATCCTCCCGCTAATCGTACAAGGCTTTCATCTCCCCGAAGAGGATCCGATGGGTTCATCCCCTGGGTGCAGTCGAACGGGAAACCATTTCGGGCTCGAGGGTTGGCTGAAAACGATGATCACATTTCTGATGTTTTCGAAGAAATTTAGTTCTGGGCTTCCTATGTTTTCGTGCGCACGCAGAAAGAAACACACATCACCATGACGACGTGTGTACACTGAACAGGATTCCAGAACACTTGATCAGTGTTAATTTTACCTTGACGACTTTTTCAACTTCAAAAGACTTCAAAAGACTTAAAAAATAACCTTAGATCTTCAAATCAAGACTTATTATCATGAATATCGAGTCGTGGTGCTCCGTAGAACTCAATTCTAAGCAAGACTGGACAAGATCGAACCGAAAACATAACGCAAATGCATTTACAAGCTCTGTTTTCAAAGGCGACTCCAACCAACAACAAGAGAGTCGTTTGGATTTCAACAATTGTGTCCCACAACAACACAGACAAAGACGACATTTTCCTGAAAAAAGTTAGTTATACTTGACTTCAAATGATTTTTCTGATTCTATTAAGCTTTTACGCACTCAAAATTCAAATATTCCTAGCTTGTCTTCGTGCTACAATAACTATGGGAATATGTAAGCTTATTTAAGCCTAACCTAAAACTGTTTGTTTAGAGAATTTTGCCAAAAATACTCGTAAATTATTGACTCAAGTAAACTTACATTCCTCTGTTAAAGTCAATTTTTGATAAATATTATCAGGCAGAAGACATTCATTATTGTAACGTTAAGCATTAGTTTTTTCCTTATATTATTAGTTTTTCCCAAAAAATTATTATTGCATTTTAAAATTAAATGCAGTTCAAAATAATCAAAATATTAGATGTATTTGATAAAATAGATAAAGAATAAGAAAGTAAGGGTTGAAGGAAATTTGAGTGCTGAAACATACTGAATTATAAAATGTACATGGTAGGACGACATGCCGTAACATTGAAATGGCTTCCTATAAGAATGGTTATTGTATGAGTAGGAAACATACAGTGCTTACTTACAGCACGTACATGGTACGACATGCAATAACACTGAAATGGCTTCCCATAAGAATGGTTATCGTATAGTGGAAAAACATATGGTACTGACTTACAGCACGTACACGGTATGACATGCCATAACACTGAAATGGCTTCCCATAAGAATGGTTATCGTATGAGTGGGAAACATACGGTACTGAGTTACAGCACGTACATGATAGGACATGCCATAACATTGTAATGGCTTTCCATTGTCATCCAACAATTTAACAAATCACAGCAAATAGTTACAACAAGATGCCGTATGGCTATGAATCTACTATATCCTTTTACACTTGTAAAAAAACCTTTCACCTTTCTATAGAAGCTGATATTAAAGCTGTGGTAGTGACAACCCTCAGTGCCAGCAATAGTATGTGTTCCAAAAAGGTTGCTAGTGAATGAGACCTCCTCACATACCCATATTAATAACCGCAGAAATATTAATCATAACCACAGCTAGTATACCAATGGTATGTTGGCGGGTGCCGGATGGTGGATCCAGGGGGCGGGGGCG